TGGTTCAACAGAAGAGGGGCCACACAGCTGAGAGCTGTGCCTCTCATTCTACTTTAAAATATGCTAGGAACGACAAGTAAGCCTGCACGAAGCACTCTAATGCTGTGATACAGTACCATAAGGTCAATAAGACAAGATAGGGCCTGATTATTCAACACCTTGTATGTGAGGAGAAGGATTTTGAATTCAATTCTGGATTTAATGGTGGAGCCAATGAAGGGAAGCAAATATAGGAGAAATATGCTCTGTCTCTCTCTAGTCTCTGTCAGTACTCTTTTTGCAGCATTTTGGATTAACTGAAGGCTTTTCAGAGATTTTTGGGACATCCTGATCACAATGAATTACAGTAGTCCAGCCTTGAACCACCTAAATCATTTGCTTTTTTCATTTTTTGTTTCTTCTTTCAGTGTCAGTTTGTGGCAACACCCTCGTGAACAGTCACACAGGAGGAGACAAGAGCACTGTACCTGAAGGAACTTGGCCCTGGATGGTAAGTCTTCACCAAAATGGAGTGCACAAATGTGGAGGAAGCTTAATATCTGACAACGTTATACTCACAACTGCGCAATGCTTCTCTACGTAAGTACACAAACAGCATTTATAATTTTTAATTTTAAAATATGAGCTGTTTGATATTTGTCTTTTAATTGTGTCTTCAATCCTCCTGACAGCACCAGTCCAAATGCCAGTGAATGGAATGTGTTTCTTGGTCTTAGACTCGTAAATGGTTCTGAAGAGTTTGAGACATCTTTGGGTGTTTTGAACGTTACAGTGAGCAAAATGACTGGCTCCAATATTGCACTATTGCTGCTGCTTGAATCAGTCAGTTTCAACAATTATATCCAGCCTGTGTGTTTGGACATTAGTGATTCAAGATCTTTCCCCATTGGTAGTCAGTGTTTGGTGACAAGCTGGGAAAACAAGAAGAACAGCAGAGGTAAGGGTTTGCTGTTTTAAAAAATTGCAGTGTCTGAATATCTTTGGTTGCATTTGCAAATATGACTCCTACAGGTGCTGTTCTTCAAAACATGAAAACTCAAGTTGCAAGTTGTGGCAATCTTTCTGATTCAGATCAAATTTGTACTCACACCATGGACCTTCAAGAGGTAAAAACAATATTTATAATTGTATCCTAAATGTGCTTGGACTGATGCTTTCAGGCTGGGTGTTTGTTGATCACTGATTATGAATCCTATTTTATATCCACAGGGAGGTCAGGGCAGCCCATTGCTGTGCAAGTCAGGGTCATCATGGTTCCAGGTTGCTGTTGTAACAGTCTGTGAAAGTAGACTGAGCCATGGAGATGTTGATGTCTTTACCAAAATCTCAAGATTTGGGTCATTCTTGAAGGAGATTATTGATGAAACACCATCTGCTGGAGCACTTTTAACAGGAGGTTCACCTGATTTCTCAGTTTCCTTATTGATGTTTTTTGCTGTCCTCATTATCTCCTTGTTTCTGTTGTCATGATTTGCTCTTGTGGGTGGTTGGTGTAGTTCATTATTACAAATTACCAACAGATGCCAAAAGTCTTTATTAACACCCATTCATATTTACTTAATGTAGTTATGATGCCCAGGTCAATATGAAGAAAATTATTCATGTGAATTAATTTTTAAACTTCTAATGAAGTTTAAAAATCTTTTTTTTTTTTACATTTTGGAGTGTGATGGTATGTTTCTCTAAACTAATTATACAGGAATATGTCTTCTCTGTGCATTCTGAAGCTGTTGTCTACTTAAAAATTGTATAAATCATGTAAGAGCAAAATTGAAATGTAATTCTAATTACATACTTATTATAATCAACATTGATAATGCTTAAAATAATTGATAAAATAATGTTATTGTTTTGTTGTTGTTTTTTAGATAACTCAGGGCTAAATATTGCATATTTTGTTTATTTGTGAGCAAAGCCATTCACATTATCAGTAGTGATGTGCGGATCGATCCTGAAAAAAAAAGTGAGGTGTTGTGGCACCACTAACCTTGTCAAACACCTCAGAGTAAATCATATCACAGAATATGACGAGCGTATGTTGAGGCGAACTGAAGAGGAGGAGAGGGACGGGTGCTGCTAGGGCGAGACAGATGCCTCTCATTGAGTCCTTTAGTGCTGCAGGCAGGCAAGGTGTTCAAATAGCGCACAACTTCAGTTTTTTTTATTTCTATATGATGAACTCTGCATTATTAAGTGATAAGAACAAGTAATCTGTTGTCCTGTAATCATTATGACACTTAAATTTGAGATACAATAAATAAAATACGTTTTTGTACAAAGGTATCGGATCAGTATCGTCGATACCACCCTGAATTTTACTTGGTATCGGATCGGAAAGGAAATCAGTGGTATCACACATCACTAACTATCAGTGACAGTTTTAATAAATTACAGCTCTTTTTCCACAAGTTAAATGCTTTTAAGCATATATACTGAATTTCATAGATTTACATTAATTTTCTGTGACTGAAGGTGTGTCTTTGCAATGGAAGTTGTAGTGGTCCACAATGGAAGCAGGTACATGGTGACATCTGGTGGCCAAAAATATGAAGTGCAGCTTGAATCCACAAATAAAACGAACCGCTTCGTTATGATTGCCCACTCTGCAGAGTAGAGTTCACAATTCTGTGGGCCACCGTTGTGTTGCTTTGAACATGTATTTTTGGGTGGTGAAAAAATTATCATGTGTATTTGTTTAAAAATAAATTTGATCAATAAACTTTCCTTATTTAAACATGCCATGGTGTGGTTTTTCTTTGCCTGTGATTACTTGATGTTGGTAAATACAATAGATGAAAAATACATATAATATACATATAAGACAGCTAAGACCTGGCTCTCTGTAATAACTGGGAAAAAGACCAAAATGCCAATGTAAATTAATCGTTTAAAATGGTTCCTTTGTGAGTCTATCACTGAAAATGTATTTGTGATAATACGATAATGTGGAAAATGTAGTGTTTTCTTGGTGTGCATGACTTGCATGACTAGTTGGGATTTAACTTTACAAACTGACAGTTAGTTAACACAATGTACCGCTGAAACACAGCAAATATTATTGCTGTAAATGGGCCTCTGCAGATATTCCTTTGAAACTCATTCATCATTCATGATAAATGTTACTTTTAAACATTCATATTTCTGATTAATTTTAAAAAATATGAAATAAATTTCAGCATTTTTAGAAAATAAGATGTTTCTAATTCACTTCAAACTTTTGAGCTGTAGTGTAGAATGCAGTGATAGTGTATGGCTCTGGATTATATGAGATGATATAGGACTATCAGGACATGGAGAGACACGATAGACGCTACCAGAGCTTCAGATTTACATGTGAAGTCAATGAAGGAGCGCGATGAAGCGCGACTTTGGGTCGCGCGAAACTTCAGAAGCACATTTGCATCGCGAAAACGCTTTTCTGCCTGATTTTTCTGCCTGACTGACACGTTTGAAGTGTGAAGTAAAATACGCGCTGCAGTTTATGTGATGCATTTTGAGCATTTGCGCTTATGCGTCTACGCTAGAGTTGGAAAAATCTGAACTCCAGCGTCAAGTGACGCTGCCACATCCAATCAGGAGCCTGGTGATGTGATGCTCTGACCTAGTTCAAAGAGGCAAGTCCAGCCAAAGCCATTCATTCTATCAATCAGTAGTTTTCTGATGAGGCAGCAGGCTCTCCAGGGCAGAAACAATGTTCTTATTTTTCTCCTCCTTCTCCCTAAAGCTCTTCCACTTTAAGCTGGGTCCTTTTTATTCCTGTCTCTCTGTAAACAGTTATATTTTATATATTTATGTTTAATGTTTTTCTGTTTGAGCATCTTAATTTTATTTCAAATAAATTTTTGCAATGACTAATGTGTAAAGCGTCCTTAAGTTTACACCGCTGCTCTGCTCTCCACAGTGAATAGAGACGCTCTCTTCAAACACTAGATCGACAGCTGCCATCTTGCAAACATACCTTCTGGCACTACTTCCTCCCACATTTCCGCTTCACACGTGTAAAAAATTGCACATTTTAAAGCGCGACTAGTTTGCTTTGGACCCGCTTCGAGGTGCGAATGTGCACGCGACCAGCTAGGGGCGTCTGGCGCTTTTTGGTCACGTCTATTGCGTTCGGTGTGAACGCACCGTTAAAACATTATGAACTGTCTTGCTGTAGAGAAAGTGGAGTCTTTCATCCTTAAAATGCTACCAACATTTCTGATGAAAGAACTAAAAAATATAGTCTTGGATTTGAAATGATGACAAAATCCTCATCCGATACAGACAGATGCATGCATACAATAAACAAGTTTGAGGTCAGATTAAAAAGTCATTGTTTTAAATAATCACTTTTGTATTCAAAGGTCACATGGTCATGTTACTTTTAAACATTCATATTTCTTTACATTTCTGATTAATTAATAAGTTTCCCTACAAATCAAAGCAGGGAACACTCTTACATCACACTGACTGGAAAAACCTGTCTTTCATTTTTACCTCTAAAGTTTTATCCGCTTTTGCCCTCTCACCAAATATTGAAATAGTGCTAAAAAATACATGCCAGAGTATCATAGTTCTGTTTGACTTACCAGTCTTTAGAAATTACATAAAGTTAAATTATGTTTACAGTCAAAATCATGGAGATACATAGAAGATTTCAAAGAGTTAACTAATACTGTGAAAGTAGACACTAGTGAGGACAGGTGGTGCTTTAAGTAGGGTAAAGCTGGAAAAAGGAGATTGTCTTTTTCCACATCTTGAAGTCCAGGCTGCTAAAGAATCTGCTCCTCTTTGTTTTGCATGATTAATAATCTTCATTCCTTATTTATAGTTTGGCTTTAAACATCTGAGCACTATATTTATTCAGCCTATAAAATGAATACTGCTTTATGTCTGAGATGACATCTTATCCAGTACACTGGATTCATTTAGATGTGGAAAGACATTTCATTGTCAGCACATTAACTAACTAATAACACAGATATAAATAAAATGCACAGACCATTAACATAAAGGTTCGATTTGATTTTAAAGGCCTAATCTTTCTTGCTGGACTTACAGGCTTGAAAATCTACATAAATATATCCTCTTAAGAAAAATATCTAGTGGTGGTTTCTTATTTACAATAGGTGCTCCAGTTTTATGGTCCTGAGTCTTGAGGATCCTCACCACCAGGTAGGAACCTTTGTTACAGATCATAGCAAATGACTAGGCAAGGGAGTGATTTGAAACACAGCAAGCTGTTGTCTGTTTAATTAATCAAATGTGGTAGCATGTACATTTCTACACACCATGTTCACCCCTGAAATTATCAGGATGGTCTACATCTGTCGTTCAAATCAGATGTACAGCTACAAATGCCATCTTTGTTACTCTGCTGAGGGTGCACCTGCAGCCGTCCCTGGATCATCTTCTGTAATTTCAATTATCATCTGTTTGTATTTACTCTTGAAAAATCCAGCCTAGAAGTGAATGAAAAAGCACATAAAATACAGCAATCATATATTAGAGTTCCAATAAAAATGTAACCAAGCTACATGAGAAAAAAAACGTGTAAACTTTTAATTGAAAAAGTATAAAAAGAGTCTTTCACCTTATACAGGCTAGCGGTGAGTAAAGCTAGAAAACCCAACCCTCCCAGGGATCCTCCAATGATCGCTTTGGTGAAATTTGGCTTAGGATACACTTCTACGTCTGCATCAATCTGACAGATGAAGTGACAGAATGTGAATAAAATTAAAGCTCTTAATACGCCGAACAAAAGAAAATATTGTATAATCACCTTGTGAACAGGAGGATTGTTGTCAGACGCTGCTGAAAAGTAGATGTACTGGTTTTTGTCATACTCCAGACTGGCAGTGCTGGTCAAGAGGAATTTGGCAGACTGAAGCCCAATCTAAGGGAAAAAAATACATCACGAGTTGACCCTAAATTAGATATTGTTTGATTTAACAGGAAAATGGTTATATATCTAAACATTTAGCAAACAATCCAAAACACTTGATTTTAACATAAACTCATCATCCATTATCTATTACCTGCTCTATCCATCCTGAACTGAGGTTGGCAGAGATTTGATACGTCCTACTCTCCCGTATTCCCATGAAAGTGTTGCACTTAAACACTCTGCACTTGGCTACAGAGCAGTCCTGAGAATGATTTAAACGAGACTGAATCCAACAAAAACTGTGATATCTGAATTTGAGATAGGTGAGGTGACTGTTAAAATCTAAAAGAGGTTGAATTTCAAAAGCTCAAGTGCAGAGGTATGCTTACCACCACCTTATTTTTTCTGATCTGAGAAACAAAAGTTTTGACAGGTGGTTCTTCGTCAATTCCTCTCTGACAGTCTGCAATCTGAAATACATTTAATTCAGGTATGCTTGGTTTTGTCCTAATTATACCACATCTATTCATCCATACATAACGTTAAGCCATTTTTTAGAAATGATGGGTGACTTAAGACTTTTGCACAATACCTGTAGACTGATCAAATTCACCCAAATGTCTTTTTTGCCAAGCTTCATTGGAACCCTGATCACCACAGTGAAATTAAGTGCTCTGATATCATTTGTAATCTGATAAAGAAAAAGACAACCAAGCAATACAATTAGATTTAGATTATACAGAACATATAAATACACATATATAGATTTATACAGAACTTATATTTTGACCTTAATTGATTGCTGGACTGGTTTCTGCAAATCACTCCTCCCAAATGTGAAATTGTTGTAGCTGAGAGAGCTAAAGAGACATATTTAAAAAATTAAATAAATATCATGTAATACAACATTTGTTAATTTCTAAACGATGCTTTTTATTTCAATTGGAAGAACCCATACCTTTCAAATGTCATAAAAATGCTATATCTCACATCAATCGATTTATTTTTATAGAGTTCATTTGTAGTGGCATGCTCCTGATTTCCACTGAAATGAAGAAGTGAAATGATTCATATTTTATGTGTGGGACTATACAAAAATATATCAAATGAACAGTACCTGGTGGCATTTGCAGTGACAAAGAGCTTCCTCTCAAGTTGACTGTTGGTGTCAATCCCATAGGAGACAATGAAGGAAGCCTTAATTGAATGGAGGAGACATATCAAATTGCGTCATCTCTTTTTGCTGTAAACAAAACTATAAATAAGTGAGAGAAAGATATTCTAAATGGTAATTGGTAAATAAGAAGATATTCTAAGCAAAAACACCTTAGTTTTGCTCTTGAAAATTGGTTTGTGGATAGTGCAGTCTGTCCTTCCTCGTGATAAACCATCTTCACTGTCCAAAGAGTTGCACCCAATTCTTCCCTTTATTATAAAAATAAAATGACTGCTGGATGTATTGGAGGAGCAGCAGATCAGTGATGAACTTATACAGACTTGATCCTGATGCTTTACCTGCTGAATGGTGAACTTCCTGTATGAGAGTCCAGCTGGGTACGTGAGAATAACACGGCTGTTGTAGGAGTTTTCTCCTCTGTTCTCCACTGTGACTGTGACATTCAGAAGCTCATCAATGCCCACTTTAACCTCTGAGGATCTGTCAGAGTATTTAGGAGGATGAGAATAAAGGAAAAGGAATACAAGCACAAGCAAAACAAAGCTTTATACATGAGCCTCACCTGGTGAACGTAAAATCCACTTTAAGGTTATCAACACATTTGTTGTCAGTGCCACAGTTGATGTCAAACCCTAACTGTGGAAGAGAGCATTTTGGAAAACATATTTAAATGATGAATGACTTATTCCAATTAGCACATTGTATAGGGAAATCCAACAACCAATTTTTTCAATCTACCATCTCGTGGAGGTTTTTTGCAGGGAAGAAAACAATTTCTGATAATATTCTTGATCCACTTCTGGACAACTTTGATCTCAGACACAAGCTATCATTCTAAGTTAAGAATTGTGTATTTTGAGCTCTTTTTTTAATTGCTTTTTGTTACTACTGCATTAGTCTTTGACTGGTAGTACAATTAGCCATACATTAATATACAATAATAATTTTCTTTCTGGTGGCAGAAGAGAAAGAAAATGATTACTTAAACATTAAAACCTTTTACTGTGCTCCATGGTGGACATAGAGAGCTGGAAATACAACAGCTGATCACTTATTCTTGTTATAATTCTTTGAAGTCTGCTTAAATCCAGCTAATCTTGGGATGTTGGACTAAGAAGACAAATGGTTCAAGAGAGTAATAAAGGATGTGCTCTACATCCACTGTGGAAAAACTCTCATTGAGTAGAGTTGGTTGCTTTTCAGTCTCGAGATCCCTTAGCTCAGCGGTCCTGGTCTGTTAGTCGTTTGGTACCAGGCCACGAGAGTTGAGGTGCAGGTGTGAAATTTATGGTTTTCAGGGTTTTTATCAGTTTTTAGTGTTATTTTTTTTTAAAAAATGTATCATTAACTCCATTTCCCTGGGTGTTTTCCCATGTGTTATGAATAAATCTTCTCTTTTTTGGTACCGGCACCAGTTTTACTTTGTTCTTTTCATCTGCGACACCTTAAAGGCCGGTCCGTGGCGCAAGAAAGGTTGGGGACCGCTGCCTTAGCTCACATGATAGCTGGTGGGCTAGTGACTCTTACAGGAATAACACCTTGACCCACTCTTTGTTTCAAACTTTGTTTCACTCTTAAGGCCATTATAGAGGGAGCGCATTATAAAAAAGGAATGTGTTTTTTGCAGAACATTTGTATTCAAAAAACAACTGTTAGTTAGATCTTTGTATTTACGCCCAAGATTTTGAGCTTGATTTAAAATAAAATAAAAGCTGCAAATTTGTCCAACAAAAGGTCGCCGTGAACATCTACATTAAGAATGAGTGATTTTGAAAAATGTTTTAATGCACAAAATGTTTGCATGGATTTTACATGTTCAGTTTGTAAAGGCCTTTAGTCTTTGTTTTCTCCATCAGATGCTGTAAATCCTTTTGGATGACAGAAATATTTTCTGGAACTAAAAAGACGTTCAGTGGCCTGGATCACTTAGAACTGACACTTTAACTGAGTTTAA